CTAGTCTCTTATACTCCTTCATTATTCCACTTTGCCCCAATGGACATTCTACAACTGACTGTTAAATAGTAGATGCCAATTGTTCCCACATGGCACCTTATTGCATTGAAGTTTCATGCTAATTCTCTCCTTTAGATATACTTCATTGGGAAAATGGGTATGTTAGAGAGCCCTTGTTACTTTTGAGTCAATAAAACCCCAGGGAAAGGGATGACGTAAGCTAACACAGGTGCCTTGACCTAAGTCCCCCCCTAGGCAGAGCAAAGAATGTAGTGAAAATTTGATCAATGCCTTTATATTGAGTTCCTCTGTTGTGCTAGGCACTATGATCAGACATGGGCACCAAAGTTACAAGTACCTGCTTTCAAGTGAAATCAGTATTTTGAAGAGATACCTAACCCCCGTGTTCATTGCAACATTATTCACAATAGCCAAGATAATGAAACAACCTAAGAATCTGTTGATAGATGAATAAAGAAACTCTCTCTCTCTTTCTCTCTCTCTCTCTCACACACACACATCACTGGAATATTACTCAGCCTAAAGCAGGAAATCTGGACATTTGTGACAATGTGGATGAACCTGGAGGACATTATGGTAAGTGAAATAAGCTAGACAGAGAAAGATGAATACTGCATGACCTCACTTCCATGTGGAACCTAAAAAAGTTGAACCATAGAAACAGACAACAGAATGGTACTTGGTAGGGGCTGAGGCTGGGGGAAATTGGGAGCTGTTGTTCAAAAGGCATAAAGTTGCAGTTATGCAAGGCAAGTACATTCTGGAGATCTAATGTATATCATGGTAACTATAATTAATAATACTGTATTTTACACTTGCAATTTGCTAAGAAAGTTGATCTTCGGTGTTTTCACCACACCAAATAAATTGTAATTATGTGAGCAATGGATATGTTAATTACCTTGATTGTGATAATCGTTTCAAGATGTACACATATATCAAAACATCACATTGTACACATTAAATACATACTTTTTTTATTTGGAAAATTTAAAAAATACCTGTTTTCCTCTCTGTAACTAAAGAGTCTAGAAAGGAAAGAAGACACATAATCAGACAATGTCAGTATCTTATGCTTAGTATAGTAATTAAGGTAAGCACAGGTACTATGAGGGCACAGAGGAGGACACCCACACTAGCCTACAGGTCTCAGGAGTTTTCTTGGAGTAACTACAAATAACAGCAGTGCCTGGCCTGTTGAAATCACTCAATAAAGGTTAGGTATCATTATTATGGCAATAAGCATTATCCGTGCCCTCAAGGACCTCACATTCCAGTAACGGAGAAAGTACAAATACATAACTATAATAATATCTAATTCGTGCTAAATGGTCTGTTGGAAAGGACAGAAATGGATAATAGCTTACATTTAATGAATGCTGCCTGTGTGCCAAGCACTGTTCTAACATTACACATACACACGCATATGTATGTATATTCTTCATTTTGTTCCCACAACAACCTTATGTTTAATTACATTTCCCCCAATTAGAGGTGAGGATGTTGAGATACAGAGAAGTAAGGTAACTTGCCTAAGGCCAAGTTAGTTACAACTAATAAATGTTGTTATGTAGTCATATATGAGAAAAAGAAAAAAAGCCATCCCTGACATCTGGAAGCTGGCCTGGCACTCACAGGTAGGCCATGTTCTTTTCCTGTTGGACATAACAAATCTCAGAAAATACTGACATCAGACAAGGTTACTCTGATAACATGATAAAGTCAGACAAAACAATGCTACTTCATAATTTAGTCTAAGCATAGACAAAAACAAGGTTACTGTGCCGCCCCACAAAAGCTTTATGCCCACTTCAGTCTGCTCCCTGTAAATACAATTTATTAGGATGCCCAATTATATATAGAATTGTCCTTGCTTTCTGACAGCACTCTACAGAATGAATCCCAACTTTCTTAGACTCTCCCCCCAATCACCCAAAATCCGAAGCCAAAATCTTGTAATAATTTTTTAAAGATTTTACTTATTTATTTTTAGACAGAGGGGAAGGGAGGGAGAAAGAGAAAAAGAGAAGCATCAATGTGTGGTTGCCTCTCACGTGCCCCCTACTGGGGATGTGGCCCACAACCCAGGCATGTGCCCTGGCTGGGAATTGAACTGGGGACCCTTTGATTCACAGGCCAGCACTCAATCCATTGAGCCACACCAGCCAGGGCACTCTTTCTATCACCCTCTGACTAAGACACCTCACGTTTCCCTATTGTATTACTCTGCTAAGGCTAACATAAAAAAATACCACTGACCGATTGTTTTCAACAATATCAGTTCATTTTTTCACAATGCTGGAGGCTAGAAGTCTAAGATCATGTGGCTGGCACATTTGGTTTCTCCTGAGAATTTTCTCCTTAGCTTGCAGATGACTGCCTTTTCAGTGTCCACATGCCCCTGGTGTTTTTTTAATGTGTCCTAATTTTCTCCTCTTATAAGGACATAGTCAGATTGAATTTAGACCCACCCCAATCACCTCATTTCAACTTTAAAGGCTCAATCATCTCTTTAAAGGCTCTATCTCCAAATATAGTCAAATTCTGAGGTATTCGTGGTAAGGCTTCTATGTATAAATTTGGGAGGGGACACAGATCAGCCCATTACATCTATGGTGTACATTCTCTGTAACTGTAAGAAGTAATAAACTTGTTCAACTACTGGTGTGTTCCTGGTAGTCTTTGGGTGGAGGGCACTGATGCAAATTATAACCGGTAACTAACTAGCAATTAATTCGCAAAGGGAAGAATAACATAAATGGTTCATAGAGGTGAAAACAATGTGCTTTCCAACAATGGGAAAAGTGGCCATTGAGATCCAGCCAGTAGATTGGCGGCATTTCAATGTTTAACCTTTTCGTTTTTGAGGACTCAGGCCAAGTATTATTTTTCTTTTTTTTTTTTTTGCATATGGATGTTATTATTTCTAGTGGCTTTAATCACATATGAGTATATTTTGAAAACTTTAAAATTCTAATGAAAACTACAGTAAGTAAGCAATGTGAACTGTGTTACACAATTATTTTCCCAGATTGACAAGTTCTTAAATACAGTTAATATTTTCTAGAGATACACGCTTCCTCCTTCTATACGTTTGTAGTGCTGCACAAAACATGTTTGGTGTGGATGCAAATGCCTTTAAAGCAAAACCCCCAAGAGTTGGTAAACCTATGCGCAATAAGTATTATTTTTCTTCATATTTACCTCAGTACCGTAGAGATACAAATGTACTTGCACAGTGCTTCACAGATGCAAGACAAAGAAGCTATTGTTTCTAGTCTCAAGATAGGTACATCTAATTTATTTGTAGCTCAATTTTCTCACCTGTAAAATGGGAGTAATAAAATTGTGTTTATTTTGACAATTAAATAAAATAATTCATGTAAATTGCCTAGCACAATGTCTGGCACATAGTAAGGCCTTATTAACTGTCAATGACTTCACAATGAATTTTATTTATGGATGAGTTTCATAGATCTAAAGTGAGAGGGGGGAAAAACAAGAGTGTTCCAAGCAGGTGGAATGGCAGAAACCGAGGCACATAGATGAGGAATTAATTGTAAAAGGGCCGGGCCCCCTGTGTTCAGATACATCATGGCTCAGTGATGAAAGACCCATGGAGAGTGCCTCAGACTTGGTTAGACATCCCAGACCTTGTTGGCAATGGGATATCTAGAACACTTGTTTCTTCCACTTTGCCAGGGAAAAGAAAATAGCCCCATCCCCTACCAACCTGTCCTATTCTGGGAAGGGGTTTTGCGACAGGCCATAGAGCTTCTGTTGATGGTGAAAAGTTGCACACATCAGGTCTCAAAGCCTAAGCATTTGCAGCAAAATGGGACTGCAGCTGTGGCAGCAGAGAACCCTGAGTGAAGAAGCTGTGCTCTGGCTATGGCTTGCTGGAGCAAGTGCACACAAAGTGCTTAGTTTGACTCCTCTTGCTCTGACACCAACCTTTCTATCTCTCCCCCTGGCTCCTAGTGGTGGTGGTTCAGGGACCCAGGTCCCAAGCTTACACCCAGGGCTCCAGGAGTGCCAAGTGGTCCCTTCTAAGTTAATCTTGACCCCCGTGCTGTTTCCTGTTGAGTTCCCAGGAATTCTGAAGGGGCATGACCACCTAAGGGGTTTCTCAATGACAGCAATTGAGCAGATCCCATTTCCTTCCTGGCACATTTCAGATTCCCTTTTTCTCTCCTTCTTTATTCGAAACAAAACAAAACAAAACAAAACAAAACACCTGTCCAATTCTTTGGGAAATGGCTCTTCATTCAAACCTTCCAACACGACCCACCCTTCTGGAGGCCTAGGCTCTGAAGTTAAGGGTAGGTAGAGGTTGAATGATTAGATGTTTGGTGAGAGAAGCCATTGAGATGTTCTTTCCCAAACTTCAGAGCGCCCCTCTCTGTACAGATAACCACCCTGAGAGACGTGGGAGAGTGCTCTCCGCCTGCTTGTCTGCTGGGGAAAGAACGCTTCACTGGCGCGGTGGACAGGGCTAGCTGCAAGAATGAGTGGGGGGTGGGGTAGGGGTGGGAAAGGGGGTGCGCGCCCTTTATGACAGGTGGCTGCGCAGTGCGCGCTCCCGGGAGTCTGAGGGGAGGGAGGGACAGACGGACAGAGTGGGAGGGGGGACATAGGGAAGAGGCCTTAGAAAGGGTAGAGAAAACGGGAGAGAAAGGGAGGACAGTGGCGAGGAAGGGAGGTAAAGGGGGAACGCGTCCAGCAAGAACAGCCAGATTGAAGGAAACAATGGCAGGGGCAATAGCGATGGTGGCAGCCGAGGCAGTTCCACTCTGGGCACCTTTCTGAATGGGCAGTGGCAGCTCTGGGAGAAGAGGAGACCAGGCAGCGCCCGCGGAGGCTGTGAGAAAAACGGCGGAAGGAGGAGGAGGGGGAGGAGGAGGAAGAAGAGGAGGAGGAGGAAGAGGAGGAGGAGAAAGAGGAGGAGGAGGGGGACGAGGCAGAGGGAGAACCCGGGAAGGAAAACCAGTAGCAGCAGCCGCAGCAGCAGCAGCAGCCGTCGCCGCCACCACAGCAGTAGCAGTAGCGACAGTAGCAGCATTTAGCAGTAGCTTTAACGGGGTAGTGACAGTGGCAGCTTCCCTCCTTCTCTCTCCCTCCCGCCGAAAGCCACTGTACCGCACTGAGCGGGCTCCAGCGCCAAGCGCGCAGCCGTCTCTCGAGGTAGCCACGGCCCGGGCTAGAGCTGGTGCGGGCCAAGCGCAGACCCCGGGCGCAGCTGGCAGCCACTGAGTCACTGAGCTCCAGGTCCAAAGCCCAACAGCTCTGACAGCATCTAGCAAGGCGGCGGCGGCGCCTGAGGGAGAGAGGCGCGTCCACCTGGCGGGCCTGGCGCATGGAGCTCAGGCAGAGGTGGCGGCAGCGGCAGCAGTAGCAGCGGCGGCAGCTAGAGCAACGGCAGTGGTGGCGGGAGCCCAGCTTTAACTGTGGCCGCGCTCACTCCAGTGGCCGCTGCCTGAGCCCGCCCGCGACGTGCACCCAAGAGTCGGCCTGCGAGGTGAGTACGGGCGCTGCCACGCAGCCCCCTGGCCTCCTCGCCGGCTCTCCAGCTGACTCCGGGTGGCGGCGGCAGGGGGCGGGAAGGATTGGGGGAGGCCGAGACAGGAGAGGAGGAAGGGCAGACGAAAGGGAGGGTGTCGGTGCGAGAATGGCGAGCGTGTGTGTCTGTGTACTAGGTAGCAAGGCCGCGGGGGCGCGCGGTCCCGACTCGCCCTGACAGGCACTGCAATCTAGGAAAGGCCTCTCTCTCTGCTGGCGCCGGGGGGGAGGGGAAGCAGGCGGCTGGAGCTTCCGCGCTCACACGCACAGGGCCAGGCAGCGGGCACCAGCCAAGTGTTGCCTCCTTTCGGGATGCTGCCCAAGAGACTCTGGCCAGGGAATGGGCATGAACACCGAACGCTTCGGCGTGAGCGGGAAAACCCACGCGGCAGCACGATCCCGGGCCCGGGCAAAAGCGGCAAAGGTGCGAAGCACTGCGGCCCGCACCCCTTGAGCCTCCCGCACGCGCGGCGCTGCCCTGCGGACCACAGAGCGCCTCTGAGCACGCGCCACTCGACTGGGGCTGCGGGTGATTTTCAACTAGGGGCTCTATCGAGCTTCACTCAGCATGTCACCATTGGGGGCATTGCCCCGAGGCCCCTTCCCTCTCAGGAGGGCAGTCGAATTGCCGCGCTCCTGCGTGGCTTCTGGAGCTGCGCTCTGCCATGCCCCGCCACACACATCCGCTGGAGTCTGGCACACCGGGTGGAGTGGGGAGGCCGTGAGCCCGCGCGGGGATCGGGGCCCGGCTCCGGGAAAGTGTGGAAAACGCGCCGCTGAGTTGGCGCCGTTCTGCTGAGGAATCCAGTGGTTTCAGCATGACTGCTTCTGTCGGTCGGATTCATGAGAGACTGAATCACCGGCGCAAGGTTTTCTGTCTTCTTCGAAGTTAAAAAAAAAAAAAAATGGCATCCCCATTTTGACACCAGCACACTTGAATTTTCTCGAGTTTCTGGTTGCAGTTTGGAATGAGTGGGTTTCATATTTTGCTTCTACGTTTTGGCTCCCAGCACGTTGTTGAATTCTGTGCAGTATACTTAGCTATGTGGCCTTTTCCTAACATTCCATTTTCTAGATTGTTATCTGAAAAGACATGATTTGTGTGTACGGCTGCCTAGGGTGTTTTAAAAAGCATCTAAAGCACTTTAACCCGGGATTTGAATATCTCTTCGGTTGTTTTTGGTGAAGCGGAGTGTGCTGAGAGTCCTGTAATATTTGCCTTGGTGAGAAAGGTGCTCCAATGGTTTTCCCTGAACTGTAGAGATCATTTGAGTGAGTTTCCAGGGATAAATCTCCCTTACATCTTTTATACATACGGCAACATATGACCAAACGTTTTATTTACAGCAATGACGCTGTCATGGCTGAGGAGAATTTACACTTACTTAAAAATATTTTAGAAGGGAACAAAAAAGCCCTAAGTAACTGTCATTTTACATATTAACTGGGAACCCTGCTAATCAAATAAAACTGGCTGAGTGTCTGAAACTCTATCCCAGTGAAGTATGTGGCTGTGAATATAATTAACCATCTGTCTAGTGAACAATTTAAATTTGGGCTGGTACATTTTTATTACAGGGTCTAATTTCTTGAACACTTGAACATTTTACCCAGCAGTAACAACAAAAACGTATTTCTTTACTAGGTCAAAGATTTATTTGTGTGGTAGTGGGATTTCCCTTTCTCTCCCCTCACCTCATCTTTCCTAGTCCCCACACTCCTTGACTTAGGAGGTCAAAATGAGCCTCTTGCTTTTGCAAATGGCATATTTACAATACAGGAATTCAAAGCAGCCAGGGCAGCTAGTGATTAGACATTTTTGTGACTTGGAAATACTTTCCAATATTTTACCTCTCACAGAACCTGTATAGATTGCAATTGAATTAAAAAATATATAATTTTTATGGACATGTGTACAAATGGAGTAGGGTTATTCAACAAATTTAAACTTGAAATTTAACTCCATTTTCCTTTTCTTATTCTAATTACCCACTTAGCTTTCCCCAACTGTCCTTTCACCCCCCCCCACAAAATCATATCCTTTTATTATTATAACCAATTTTTTTAGGTTAACAGTATTCACATTTGTGATTTTAACAGTATGTTGACAAACTGCTCTTCCTTTGTAAATCGAAAGTGTAAAATACCATAACATGAAAGGACATTGTCCATGTTAAAAATTTTTCCCTCTCATGTGATTTTAACCAAAAATTTATTACTAGGAGAAAAATAGATTTTGGGTGGAGATTAAATGGCCCTGGAAAGATTAGATTTCAGAGATTCTACTAGATAATTGTTGCTATAACATAACATAACAAACATAACATAACATAAGTAAAATTAACCACAGATTGATTGTTCAGTATTTTCCTTTAAATGACTAATACTTTAAAACAAATATCTGGCTAAATAACAGCTCTGATAAATGGGTAACAATTATTGTGAGAACCTGGTAAAATTTGATGTGTCAAGTTTGTTAAGTAAATCAACCTGTTCGGTGAATAAATCTTTAATGCATCAGTGCTTTTTAAACACACACACACACACACACACACACACACGCAAATATATAACACCCTGTTGTCAAAGTCAAACAAGTACAGAACACTGCTACTTTCATTCTATTTCACCCAGTCCTCTCTTTTTCTTTTTTCTACAATCTTCTAGTTACCTGTAAACTTCCCAGAGCAGAGAGAACTAAAGACGTGGTAATGTTGCCTGTTTAGGAGGTGGGAGAAGAGAGATGAGAAAAGTGATAAGTGTTGCATTTTAAACATTCAAAGATATGCTCATGGATTTCTGACAATCATTGTGTAGGTCCTCATCTCATGGAAGTCTTTGCTTTGGAGATGGACTAGCTTTACCAAAGAAGCATTAATTGCAGTTGCTCTGTTACTAAGCATGGTTCTAGTGAATACTTTTTTTCTCTCCAAATCCTTTAGTAAGGGGGATAAAAGAGATTCTAATTGGCCTTTTACCCTGTTACATATCTTTACATGTATTTATCTGCTGGCACATACATGGTTTAAGTGTTCTGTACTGAAGTAAGAAAAAAATAAAGGACCAAAGGAGATGATAGGGAAGAGAAATGATACACTAAGGAGTAGGTCATCTTGTTTCACTGTTTCAACCGCTTTTGGTTTGATAGGGAAAGCAGGTTTGGACATTTTAATTTTTTTCTTCATTTTCCCCCTTTTATCTCCTCCAAAAAATTTCCCATCAGCTCCCTAATTGACAATTTCTCCACCTTTTCGAAACCAGGGTCACAGAGTCAGGCACAAAGGACTTGTTGGGCTCTCCATGCCACTTCTCCAGGGCTCCTTAGAAACAAAACAAATGGCACTGGACAAGACTACACCCAAGGGGCTACCTTTAATTTAAGAATTTTCCGTCACGCAGAAAACTCTGTTTTAGGCAGAGATGAACATTCCTCTCCTCTCAAACAATACTGGCTTTGTGCAATATTAAGCACATCACAACCTTGCAGAAATCTTGTGTGGGGTGGGGTCAGTCAGTGCAGGGTAGGGGAAAGATGCCTTTTAGTGATGGTAGGGCCTTTTCTGGACCAGCTACAGGTAAGGGGTGAGGACCCTCTAGTCTATCTTCCCCTGGGTCCCTCATTGACCACAGTGATTTGCAGGCCTCTGCTTGGGAATGTGCTCTTTTTTAAAAATCTTTTTTCCTGTGGATAAGCAGTGTGCCCTGATGTCTTTCTCTGCCTGTTCTCTGGTGGGGAAAAGAACTGAGGTCTTCAGGATCAACTACTAAGCACCTAATTTTTAATTTTTCTAAAAGGCACTTTAATAGATCATCTTATACTTCCCAGTGAGATGATTTTGTTATAGACAATTATCTACTATTTTTCTCAAACACCTTCAAACCCCATTTAAAAAGTTATACCTCTCCCCCTCAGTAGCCCATCAGTATTACAAGACTAACTTAACCAAGATGGTGCTTCTAATATTTAACTTGAGGGAGGTTAGAGGTTAGTGACCAAAACTATACTGTGGGCCTGACAGCTTAACTAGCAGTCCCCCATCCAGAACACGCGTTGATTTTCATTTTGTTTGTGGGAAATTAAGCATTTTCTCTATGGATAACTATAAATAGTGTGGCCACATGTTGTGGCTTATACCTGTTGTCCCAGGACATTTATTTTACCCTTAAATGTGTACCAGTTTGGGTCCAGGCTGGGTAGCTCAGTTGGTTAGAGCATTGTCCCAGTATGGCAAGATTGCAGGTGGACCTCCAGTCAGGGCTCATACAAGAATCCACAAATAAATATGTAAATAGAGCAACAAATTGATATTTCTCTCTCTCTTTCTACCCCCCTTCTCTCCCTCTAAAAATTAATTTAAAAAACTTGATGGGGGAGGGATAATGAACTATCAGGGTTTCTATTCCCTTAACTGACTCAGCCTATCCTTTTCCTAGCTAAGAAGTCTTTCTGGAGGATAAGAACTCCCAAAATGATTCAGGCTTTGGGTTTGGCAGAATTGGACACCCCTCCAAAATGCATGTGTGTGCGTGTGTGCACAAATTCACAAACACATACATAAAGACGTGCTATCTGCATGCTGGAGAGTGGCTGCTCTTACTTTCATGAAAGACTGGTGATAGGTAATAAGCCTAAAGCGTATCAGGAGGTACTTAGGTTTAGAAAGATCATCCTGACAATGGTAGTTGTAAAACAATAGGGTGGTATCAACAGGAGTGCGAATTCCTTTTAGGATATGTTTTAGGCAGTGCACAGGTGCTCTGGCTGGTATCGCTCAACGGATTGAGCTCTGGCCTCTGACCCAAAGGGTTGTTGGTTCAATTCCCAGTCATGGCATATGCCTGGGTGGTAGCCCAGGTGCCCAGTAGGGAACATTCAAGAGGCAACCAATTGCACATCAATGTTTCTCTTCCTCCCTTTCTCTCTCCCTTGCTATCTCTCTAAAAATAAATAAGTAAATA